GTTCTGGTATAAGGTGCCTAAGCCTACCCCGGGATAACTGCGTCCCGTCCGGGTGAAGGGTGGCGCTGAGAGAGGCGAGCCAGTTGAGAAACAGATGGCGCCTCTGAGGGGCAAAAGCCAAGCCTTAGAGACTCACGGAACCACTTGGAGCCAGGGCTCCCGTCTGGTGCAAGCTTTCCTGTGGTGCTGCCCTCCAGTCGGAGTGCCTGGTACATGTGTGAATTAATCCGTGCGATGCCCCGATGAGAAGTGGAAATTGTATTATCCCCACTTGACAGCTGGGACTGGGGAACCAGTAAGGGTAGCAGGAAAAGGAAGGTAAGACATCTGACGAGGAGCCATGGTGCAGGGCAAGAACTTGGAGTGTTTGGGCAAGAGACTGGGACAAAGAGCTGGCTCAGGGGCAGCAGTAAGACTAGACCAAGTCTTGGGATTGGGACTCTGTAGGGTGGGAGAGCATGATGGGCAGAGGGGAGGGAGAGAGACAGATGAGACAGGAAAGGAGGCTGGACTGGGCTGGGCTGGGCTGTTCAAGGAAACTTTCACTGAAACTACAAACTTGAGGACTGGAAAATGAAATTGTCAGACATCCTTTCCAATTCATACAGTATTCAGTTTACATGTAGCCAGGCAGACAAACTTGTTTATCTGGTGACAAGTCAATTCTCAAGAACATAATTTTCAATATATATAAATAATTCCTTACATATTATCCATACATACATTTTGCAAGGATTATGATGACCAGAATGACACTGGCTGTCAGTAGAGACCTTATGTGACAAACCTTGACAAATGAGTAAGAAGATATTCGGTTCTTATCAGACAGTTGGCACTAGGAGGTTGCTGGTTCCCAATGATTTAATGTTAAAGGCCATTGGATGCTGCCTTAGGAAACTGGATTCTATCTCTGGCTCTGTGAAAAGGTCGTCTAAAAAGGTTGGCCCATCTACATTTTTCAGGGATGTGAAAAATCCACTATGCTGAGCATCTTAGACAAGCCGATTTAACCCTTTGTGTAGACAGCACTGGGTTGATGGAAGAATTCTTCAGGACTGAGGGCCACATCTGATAGGGAACTTGTATGGAGGGCCTGGTAGGGAAGGCTAGGGGAAGTTGTGTCTCCCCGAACAGCCAGATGTGGCCTGGCCGCTGCCCCCTCTCCAACCTTCTCTGCCCTGGCCTATAACCACCCCTTCTGGAAATTCCCACCTCTTATCCTACCTCCCTGCTCCCTTCCTCCCAGGAACCTTCGCTACCCTCTGACTGTGCCATCTAGAGCGCCTGGGTTAGCGACGCTGCAGCGGAGCTGCTTGGCCAGAATTGCTGCTGCATCGCCTGGAGCATTGTGGCTTGCAGTGCACTTACTGTGCCGTCCAGGGAGCTGGGAGAGATTAGGTTCCTGGACAGTGGAGGAGAAGTGGAGGGGGACAGGCCCAAGGACTAGCAATCTCTGCTTGATGTGCTGCTCACAAGTTTGATTGGCTCCTCCTACAAAACTATCCTGACCCTACTCCCTACTGGGAGCTCAGGATCCAGACTGAAGAGTCTGATGAGTTAGATATAGATGGTCAGCTGTAGTTTGCCCTTTCTGGACTAAAGCTTTTATTTAATGAAAACTCAGCTTCTGGGGTAGTTAATATTGTCTTGTCTCCCACCTCCCCACCCAACCCTATTGGTCAGGAAAAGCTTTGTCCTTGTTAGAGGCAAGTAAATTATTTTAAGTCCTGGGGATGCTTACCTCCAACTGTCCCAAGAGTATTGAGAAAATTAATTGGCTAATGTTTGTAAACTCTGAACAAATGAAGTACAAATTACTAAATTGATTTTGTATCCATATCCATTTACAGAAGTGACAGTTATGGAAGGAAATGGAAAAACTCCTACGTCAGGTCATCTGAATGTAAGTTTTGTATTGTTTATAAGAAAATTCTTCATCCCTGGCATTATGTTCTTGCAAAAATTCCAGAAACTGCAATCATGAATCCTGCAAGGTTCATTTTATTGGGTTGCCATCCCCAGAGAGCCAATTTAAGTCTTCATTTATGCATGTTCATGTGCATAAATATACGTTACTCGATGGAGGCATATTTGGGTAGGGAGAGGTGATGTATAGCGAAGTGGTAAATTCAAAGTGCAAGGCTAATATAGACGTTAGTATATAGACACAATAATTAAGTACAGATTAAAGTACTTTTTATTTTGTATTCAATACACTCTTTTGTAAGGCATTGAGACTACACATGGCTTCTTTTTAGGGCTGGATTCTGCAACTATTATAGAATAATAGAATACGAGAACTGGAAGAGACCTCAAGAGGCCATCCAGTCCAGTCCCTTGCCTTCAGGGCAGGACCAAGCACCATCTATATCAGGGCTACTCAACACCCGGGCTGCATTTTTTTGCAGCTGGTGGTGCAGTTTGAGTTTACGCGGGGCTCAATATGTGGCGTACGCGTAGGATCCTTTCAACATGGCCTCCACTGGGAACATGCTCCACAATGGCGAGGCGTCTCCCAGCTGGGGTGAGCACTGAAAGACACAAGCAGATGGGCTGTATGGAACAGACTGGTATAGTGTGTCGGCATTTCTAGCCCTCAGGGAGGAGGTGCCAAGAGTGCCAGGGTATTGTGGGAAATGCTTTGTATTCATGCTGGTTGGTGTAAAAGAAGCTATTTTCATATATTTGCATATATATTTGCATTTATATATTGGCACTTAAGTTGTGGCCCTCAACATGTGCTGTGAGTATCATTGTGGCCTCGGGGACTTCAAAAGTGGAGTAGCTCTGCTCTAGATCATCCCTGATAGATGTGCAACTTGCTCTTAAATATCTCCAGTGATGGAGATTCCACAACCTCCCTAGGAAATTTATTCCAGTGTTTTACCACCCTGGCAGTTAGGAAGTTTTTCTTAATGTCCAACCTAAACCTCCCTTGCTGTAATTTAAGTCCATTGCTTCTTGTCCTAAAGAAGAACATTCTTGTTATGCCAAAGAACAGATCTATATTCAGAGTAATGGTCCACAAAAATACACCAGAAATTGTCTGTTAACCTTTATTACTCCTAAATTTTTCTGTATTACCCCCACTAGCACAAGTCAACTACTGACAGCAACACTGGATACACTGCTGGAGACAAAGAACCCATAGCACTCAGCTTTTTAACTACTTTGTCTAACCCTGTGTAGAGCTGGGCTAGGTAGTACAGTGATTAAAAATATAGCTCCTGCCACCACTTGATTACACTAATGTTTCCACCATTGCTGCCATAAGTGGCAAATTTTAGGCTAATGGAGACAAATCTAAAATGAGTATTTTACCATGCATATCAAGGTCCAAAAAGCTTATTTCAGTAGGAAGCTGATATGGGACTTTGAATTTCATTTTTGTTAAATAATGGATGATTTTAAACTTTGCTCATTTTCCTTTTTCATGTTCATCTTAGAAGCTTAATTGTGAATGTTTGGAGCTCATGCATTTTTTTTTAATGTGTGAGAGGATGTTTTCATTCTGTTAAAGCTGAGAATGTTAATACATGCCAGCATGTATTATCTGAGTACTTTTTGATATGTAGATGTTGATTGTCAACTCGGAAATATTGTTTTGGGATTTAATTGTTCTTGAGGGGGTTTTTAAACCTTTCTTTTTAGAGAATGTAGGTTGATTTCTTAGAAGATTGTAGTTTTCTTTCTGTTAATCCTAGCATGCCAGCTTAATGGAAAGATGAAATTGGATGTCAGTGAATCAGAAAGGACCTAAGGAAATTATAAGTGGAGAGTGCATCTGTTTTTATCCTAAAGCAGGGGTCTCCAAACTTTTCAGCCCGAGGGCCGCATTAACTATCAAACAGCAGTTCGGGGGCCGCTTTCACGACAGGTAATTTCAGTTGCCTATTGCGCCCTCTGTCGCAGCGCGGCCGGTACTCTGACCATGCACTCCCTCCAGTGCTGAAGGGGAGAGAAAGGGGGGCCCGGGCCCACCCTCACTCACGGGCCCCAGCCCAGGGCCCTAAGGACACGGAACCAGCTGGCTCCGGTCCGGCTGACGGGGCTCCTGCCGTCACTCGTCAGCCCGCCAACTCTAACGAGTTCTGCCCTGGGCTGCTTCCTTTCCCTCCTCGTGTGACCCTCTACCTCCCCCCACCGTGGGGCGGTCACCTTTGATTCGTCCGTCAGGCTGACGGTCGTATATCCAGACGCCCACCCCCCCCGCCGGGGCTGGTCCTGCCGTCTGGGTGGCCGTCGGGTCTGGACTCCTGAGAAGGGGGGGGCTTTTCCCCCTGCTCTCCCCTTCCTCTGCACGCTGTCCTCCCCTCCTGCTTGCCACCGCTCACTCCTTCCCCCCCCCCCCCCCGGGCGGAAGGGGTCACCTTTTTAAAGTTCCTGCCGGGGTTCACGTTCCCCCGCATGTCGCCGGGCGGGCGTTACCACCACCGCCCATCCTGCCCCCTGATTGGCCGGCTGCCCTGTCAGTCTGGGCGGGGGAACGCCGCCCGTGCTAACCCCCGCCCCCTGCGCCGTTTGCCGCCGCGCGGCTGCTTGTCAGCGGAGCGGCCCGCTTCTCCTGCCCTGGCGCGGCGTGAGTACACGCCGCACACCCCTGACAGGGCCCCCCCCCGCGGCAAGAAGGGCCCGTTCGGCGGCGCCCCAGGGACGGGCGGGGGTCGCCTCGTCACACCGGCATGCGGAAGGCGGGGCCAGACAAAAAGGTCTCCACGGGCCGGATGAGAGGGCCTGGCGGGCCGCATCTGGCCCACGGGCCGTAGTTTGGAGACCCCTGTCCTAAAGGCACATTCATGGAGTAGTTAATAAACTTAATTCAGGAGTTCCTTTATTCCTATGCTCCGCATTCTCTAGTCTATTGAGATTTAAAACCAAGTTTCCAGTGCCCAATGTGATTAGAAGGATAAACCAGGAATAGAGGACCATAAAGAGTACTATGTTCGAATTCAAGTTAGTCAGTATTTCTCACCATGTTCTTAATTTGGCTTGAAGGGTGTGAATGCATGAATTCACAGCACCAGTAGAGAGTTGAATCATTTGATTTTAATACAGGTTGAACTTCTCTAATCCAGAACATTCTCATCCAGAAACATCTGTCGTCCAGAATGATTTTTAGTTAGCCAGATGTTGACTTTTTATGGGTGTGGCCAAGTTTTCTGTGGGTCCCATAAAGTTTGTTTATAGCCACCAGTCCTAGCTCTCAGTGTTCTGTGCTGTTACTTAACTCTAATTTACCCCCAAATGTCCTCTAACAGTACAGTTAGCAGTGAATGTGTTAGTAATGTTGCTTACAATATTGACCTACTGTGGACCAGATAATTCTCTTATTTGGAACTGGTCCAGTCCCAAGGGTTCCAGACTAGACAGGTTTGACCTGTATACATAATGAATATGAAAGTAACATGCTCTATTTCCCAGTTTCGCATACCAAAGAAGAAACCTAACTCGAAGTCAGAGGATGTCCATCTTCAGTCCCCTTTGTCAAGGCTGACAGACTCCCACCAATGGGATTGCCCTTTACAAGAGGTAAATAGAAGCTTCTTACAGTCTGTTCTATTTGAAACTTTTTAAAATGAGATGTATTAGGAACACATTATATATTACTTGTTTGTTCTGAAATTGAGTATTATCTTTCATATAGAGAAAAAAAGTCTCAATTGCAGGAATGTGGGTGGGGCTGTTACTGACTTAACAGAGGCTCAGGTCTATGCACATACATATGGTTGATTACAGTATCAGAGCCTGATTGTAGTATTGGCAGGCCAGCTGTTTGAAAACCATGAGCTTAGTCTCCAAAAACAAAAAACCACCCAAATCCAAAATACTTCTCATGAGGTTATATTTAAAATAATGATTTAAAACTACTTTTGCGATTAATTTTGTGTTCTGATTTGAGTTTTCAGGTTATATTATGTCACGTGGTCAAGCTTTTCTCTGGAATCATTTGTGGTAGAAACTTTAAAAAAAAATTAAAACTGTGATCCTGGAGTCTGAGAGATGGGACTTAAAGAAAATCTGTCTTAATCTTCTCATTCATTTATAGAAACAAATAATTACCAAGTAATTTACTTTCAGAAGCCATTAAATGAGATATAAAGATACTCTATTATGTGGGGATTACAGTGCTATTAAGTAGAATTTAAACTCAGCACTGAAACTTTTATTTCTGATAATGCCCACAGCATGCTAGCCACTGTGCAAATAGAAACAATGGTACAGGCCCTGCCCCAAATAGCTTAGTTGTGGAGCTTTCAGATGAACATAAAGGACCTTTGAGTACAAGTCCCTTTGAAAGTCTTGGCTCCTAGATCTGTAGGTGCTTTTAAAACTGTCCTTGATATGCTTTTACCATAACACATATAGGGGAAGGCACAGGGGAACATGCTGTTTAGGTGGTCATGTGTTGATTGTCTATTTCCTAACAAAGTGGTGTGGGTTTTTTGATTGGTAAAACATACTGATTGTCTTCAAGTGACTCACAATCTTGTAGAACCAGTGGCTTACTTTGCTGACATGAAGCTTATAAAAAAGTATATTCAGGAGAGAGATGTCTATCAAGTGGCTGGTGACCTGTGGACCAGATTCATAAGGATATTTCTTAGCCCAGTTACTGAATATGTAAAGCAGGGAATACTAAAACTAGCCACCGCTTTATTGCTAACATACTTATCTAGGTAGTTAAAAATAAAACTCTGAGAGCCTCTCCTCCCTTTTTGGTCTGTGTTCCTGCAGGTAACTAGTATCAGAGTGCTTGGAAGCAACAGAATTCTCACTAGTTAACTGCCTTGTCATTCTTTGGTATACTCTAGAGCCTTGCAGGGATACAAAAATTTGTATCTGAAAAACTGAGCCATGGATATCTTCATCCACATCTGTGATTGCAGATACCTGCACATATAAAGCTAATATCAGCACATTTGCAGAGTTTTTAATACAAAATTTGTATCTGCATCCACAAAACTGAGTTGTGAATATCTGTACTCATATCTGTGGATATAAAGCTCATATGCATAGACTTGTCAGTGTCCTTGGCTCCTGGCTCTCTATACTTGCCATGTAACTTTGCATGCTACCAAGTCTGAAGTTGCACTTACAGACTTCTCAAGGGCTGTTCTTATTTTTAAACATCACTGATCTGTTAGTTTCTTGTTCTTGTGTGTATTTACAGTTTCTGTATCTCTGTTATCTTTGGCTTTGCTGCAAGCACAGTTTCTGCATTCAGTTGCTCCTAGGTTTTAACATCTTTGCTACCCTGTGCATACCAGTGTTCTGTACTTTCAGAAGAGATTCAGAATTGCCCAAAAGTTAGGAATAAGGCATATGAGTCTCACCAACTACTTCCTCCTTTCAAGGCTTCACTTCTCAATGAACTCTCACAGTTATTCTGGAAAGTAGTTGTAGCAGGACTTGTTGTCTCATTGCAATTCAGGTGTAGGATTATCTCCTCCTGGTTGTTCATCTTGGTCCACCTTTAAGAAACACTTCGGCTTCTATTATGGACAGCTTTTAGCTTTCTGCAGCTTCCCCATGCTCTTTTCAGCCTATACATCTGAGAGCTTCATTCTGGGCCTCGCAGTCACCTCAGTTTATGTTCCTTTTAATAATAATGCTGTTTAATCTTAAGGAAGTGTAATGCACAAGATTACTTCAAAATGTTTTACAAAGATGGGTAAATACAACCCCATTCTACAGATAGAAACAAAGACATGTTTGTAAAAAGGCTTGTAAAAAGGCTCCATACAATGTGTAGCAAAGAGCAGCAGGAGATGGATTAAAAAGCCACTTGCAGCTCCAGGCCCCATAGTCTGTGTCTATGACTTAGCTCAAATTAAGTAATTTGTTAAGGGAATTAATGTAGGCAGGTGCCTTACTGTTTCATGATTAATATTGAACAAACCCACTACACAAGCACATGGTTTGAGCATTCTTGTCTTAAAACAGATTGTGAATTTTTACTTATCTTGGACAAAGTCAAATTTCTTAGATATAGGGCAGGTTTTCTTCAAGACAAGATTGTGGCATGGATAGAGGTGATGAAAATCATACTGATTTCAATATTTTATCTTTGAGCCAAATGTTTAGCTTTCTTTGCTGCTCATCACCTGTTTTACATGAGCAGTTGTTTTATGTTCTGTCCTTCTCACTCCTCCGCCTATCCTTACTTCTTCCTGATAGATTAATAATAAATTATGTCTAAAAACTTCTTCATTATTACACTTTTTTTTAATTCCAGTGGAAATTAAGGACACGGAATCAAGAGTCTTCTCTAAAATGGAAAAGACAAAGGGACTTCGATAGACCCCGCTTCATTGGTGAAGGATCAACAATTGGGTAAGATGTCTCGCATCAAAACTAGCTCATTTTACATTATAGTGTTTTACATATTCTGGGTGTTTTAAACCTTTCTTGAGAACAGGTATCTTTAACTGCCACACAATTTATTAGGGTCATACAAATGCTACTTTCATAGCAGTATAGAAAGCCCAAATTGAGATTAATGGCTAGAGATATATTTATTTAGTAATCATATGCTAGTATAAATTTACAAATTGATTGCAAGCTTTATTTTGTTGTAAGATTTCTCATAAGGTTGGATGGCAGCATCAAACTAAGAATACAAATCTAACAGGTACAGTGGGTCCCCGAGTTGCGAATGGTCGACTTACGACTGTTCACAGTTATGATCAAAACTGTCGTAAATGGCAGACGCTGAGTTACGAACGCGATCCGCGCTTACGAACAGCGTGGTCACGTGTAACTCAATGGGGTCCACGAACAAACCGAGTTACGACCAATTGCTTGGTCCATAACCAGTTTGTAAGTTGGAGAGAAGCTGTAGTTAAGTCAGGAATTTGGATGTTCTGTGTTATATAAGAGGTTCGATGAGCGGATCACAGAGGTTTTTTCAAGTTTTTGTAATCTATGCCAGTTAAAATCTTTAAGATTCTTAGATAAAGACGGTTACTCTTGAGGCACAGATTATTTTTCCAGCACCTGCTGCTCTTGTGGGGGTTTTTCCAAATCCATCTTCAGATCACTTTTGAATACGCACATCACTATGAGATCTCGGACAGATAATAAATAAGTTGGCTTTGTCAGCTGTCAGAGGAAAACAAAGCCAACCAACATGATTAGCAGTAAGAACTGCAAAATTAGAAACAAGCAGGATCTCTAACTGAGGTGGTTTGAAGTGGTGAATCATTTTTATTAATGACCTTTTTTTGGCACAGGCTTATTGTGATTTGCACTTGATGTTAATTGTGAATTACATAGAAGATGTACTCCACAGCAGTCAGATGGTTATATATGTTAAAGAACATATTTGGGAAGTCAACATGCAGAAGGAAAGGAATTAGTATTTGACTAAACAAAATGTTAGAGTTCTTAGAGTCAATCTTAGTGACAGAAGTTAAGTATTTTGATTTAATGGTAGGATTGCATCTACATAATTTAAACAATTAGATTATTCCAGATGTTTCTAGTTTGTGAATTACAGAATCAGGATAATTCTGTCTTAGGGCTAGTATTTTAAATAAATGCATTTATAGAGTGGTTTATTGAAACAAAAAGAATCTAGAAGTGCACATTTTTGAAGAAGCAGCTCAGTTTAAGGAGCTACTTAATATACCCTAATACATTTGTTAGTCTTTAAAGTGCACCCAGACTCTGTTTAACAGATCTGTTTAACAGAAATTCTAATTTTCCTGCTTCTTCAAAGGCACAACTGTCTGCTCTGGCTTTCTAACATTAGCTGCAAACAATGAAGCTTTTCTGTTCCACTCTATCCAACTTAAAAATTGGAGTTATTGGAACCCTTGTGTTGTGACATCGTATTCTAGTGGGGGCTGCTTGTTTCTCTCTGTGACGCCAAATAGCATTCTTGGGGTGCTGAAGTAGACCTTCAACTGCCATTTATAACTTTAGGACACTTAAAACAGATACTTTTGGAATCTATTACACAAATTACTTTCACTTGATATTTGAGAGAGGTGCATAGTCATAGGGTTAAATAACTCATTGGAGACACACTAGTAAAAAACAATGGGTAATATAGTTAGGCAGCAATTTTTCAGATGTTAATTTGTTTTTTTCCAGAATCTTTTTTTAAAGAAGGGTTTGTACAGATAAATGAGATGTTGAGAACAAAATTAATCGAGGGATATGATGATAAATAATTCTTTAATTGCATATTTACCAGGGTTAAGAGGCTGGGTAATAAATGAGAGGAATTACTGCTTATTTGAGTATTACCTTGATTTAGTTGGTATTATTGAAACCTGTTGGAAAGATAATATAATTGAAATAATAAATGGCATTTAGGAAGAATGAAGTGGGCAAAAATGCAGGCGAAATAGTACTCCATGGTATAAAAAAAAAAGTCATGATCTGTTTTCATGTCACTGACAGCTTGAACGTAAATCAACTTGAACATTTATGGGTCAACATCTTAATGGAAATAAACAATGGCCCATGTTATGGTTTATCTGCTATAGGCCACAAAATAGAGAACAGGACCATCTCCTTAAACACCTGTAGTTAATGTACAAGAGATACAATAACGTTTGAGAAATCTGAATTTATTTCACTCCAACCCCCTTCTGACAATCAAAATTGCTACACAACTCTGGGAAGGGAGATTGAAGCCCAATCACACCACTTCAGACACTGGGCCCAAAACCCTGCTTATCCTGCCAAAGCTTTAGGGCTTCATCCCTGGGCTATGTGCCTCAGTCTTTGGATCAGCCAGCCATAGGCCCCAGCAAGTCTAGTGCCAGCCCTGGAGACCCCATTAAAATTGGATCTTTGCCCACTTTGGGGTCCTAACCCACAGTTTCAGAACTGCTGAAATAAATATCACGGTGGACTTGAGTCTGAGTGACACATCAGACCTTCAGCATGCTGGCAATACTAAAACATAATTGATGTTTTAAAAAAATGATAGAGGACCATTTCCTAAGTTCATAAGTTGCTCCAACCCAGGGAAAATGGGTATTATATTTCATCTTGATAGACAGACATTGATCACAGAACTGTAAATTGTTGGTTGCTTAGTGATGCAAGTGATTTATGACTTAATTACACTGATGTACAAACAGAATAAAGTCTGGTGTTCTTTAAAGGGCTAGTTTCACAAACCTAATAATAATTATGGGCCAAATCAGCTGGAGAAAGTAAATAAAGTCATAAATGTCAATTGGGAACTGTATAAGAGTATTTTACCAGCTGTCCAAAATGCCATAACTGAGTGAAAAGGGTATAAACAAAACCACAACCATCCCCCCAGCTTACAGGAGAAGTTTGGTGGGACGTGTTCCAATTCTGTTTAAAAGGGGATAAAGAGCTTCTCTGGGCTTAGTCAGCCCCCAACCTGCTGCACATGGAGACTAGTGGCTCCTTAAAAGGAAGGATCCAGCCCCAGTCGAGTGTGGCACTCAAGAAGAAGTGGAGCTAAAGAATAGCTTTCCCTAGCCCCATAGAGTAAGAACTGCTTACCCAGAAAGCTGTTGATAATCCTCTGCTGCTTGGATACTCTGGAGAGGTAAAGACTTAATCTTGCTTTTCTTTTCATTTGAGCCTGGGAAGCTAAGCCTGGGCTCCTCAGATACTCAAAGGAGTTGGGAACCTGGCTGCCTTCATATAGACTATTTGCCTTTTTCCCTGCAAGGAACAGTAGGGTAATCCCAGACTGTTGTGTAGGTTGCAAGATTATTTTGTTTGGCTTTCCTTTTGTTTTGGACTGTGGTTGTGCCCAGAAGGTGGGGAGCTATCTCACTAACTCTTACAGCTGACAGAATGCATCTGTCACTCCAGACTGGTGCTACAATAATATCTATAGCCAGAGAAGGATGTCTGGGATGAGAGAGGTGCCCTTCCTCTCTTCACAGGTGAGCCCTTGAGGTACAATCCATAACAGAAAATCAAAGCCGTTTTTATATAAAACAAATGGAAGAAAGGGAAAGTTTATAGAAGTGAATATTAATTGGAAGCTAGCCATGTAGAAATTTGCTAAGGGAGGCAACAAGACACAGGAAGAAAGCTCTGTCTAGCAGAGTGGAAAACAGAAAGCAGTTTAAAAGTATGTTATGTGCAGAAAACCATGGTATAGTCAATTGTTAAATGGAAATGACAGAATTGTAATAATGTGGAAAAGGCAGAAGTGTGCAATAAATATTTCTGTATTGGATTTGGGGGGGACAGAAAACGGTGTCCTGTCTTATGCTTTCTGTTCTAGTGATAACTCAGAAGGATGTTAAATAGTAGCTATTTATGTAAGACATTTTAAAATCATCTGATCCAAATATCTTGCACCCAAAGTTTTTAAAAGCTGACTAAGGAGCTTTTGGGGCTGTTAATGTTGGTTTTTTTTTTCAATAAGCCTTAGAACAGTGAGAGAATTCCAGTAGCCTGGAAGAAAGCTACTATTGTACCAGTGTTTAAAAAGAGTAAGCGGGTTGACTTGGGTAATTATAGGCTTATCAGCCTGCCATCAATCCAAGACAAAATAATGGAAAGTTGATATGGGACTCCATTAATAAAGAATTCAAGATGGTAATATAATTAACACCAATTACCATGGGCTTATGGGACATATATCCTGTCTATTTTCGGGAAGCATGGTTTAGCTGTGCTGAGTACAAACTCAGCTGAAACCAGTGGGTATGTATGTGGCATGGCGCAGCCATGTCGCTGCTGCCTGTGGTGCATTTATACTTGTGCTAGTTCTCTGATGCTCCTAGCTCATAGTGTAGATATAGCCAGAGAGTGACAATCTTGGAATTATATCGTATAAATCCGTGGCTCTCAACTTTTCCAGATTACTGTACCCTTTCCAGAAGTCTTATTTGTCTTGTATACCCCGTGTTTCACCTCATTTAAAAACTATTTGATTACAAAATCAGATACAGAAGAGTCACAGCACACTCTTACTGAAAAATGGCTGACATTATTTAGGCCATATAATTATAAAATCTACTGGAATGTAAATATTGTACTTTCATTTAATTGTATGGTTTGTAGAGGGGTATAAACAAGTCATGAAATTTTAGTTTTTACTGACTTTATTAGTGATTTTTATGTAGCCTTTTGCATAACTAGACAAATACCTTGATGAATTGATGTACACCCAGGAAAACCTCTAGGTAGCCCCAGGGCTACATGTACCCCTAGTTGAGAATCACTGATGTAGGTGAAAAAACTAATTCTGCCCTTTCCTAGAATATCCATTACACTCATTAGAGCAGGTTTACTGGAAACAAATATTCCTGTAGAATACTAACTTTCTTTCAATGGATCTGATCAGCGTTATAACTTTATTGCAGAATCAAATGGAG